TTCCAGTTAAGGGAATAATTGAAATAGTTATAATACTCTATTAATTGCTACAAGAAGACAATTTTGCTCCCAGCTATGAAGAAACAACCAAATCAATACCAAAGACCTGCATTTTACACTGAAAGCTCTAAGGAAAATCCTTCTAATGTTCATGAAATGTGTCAACATTATTAAAGCAAGAACTTAGACTACATTGTACATTCCTTTCGTGTTGTGTTTTGTCATTTACTAAGACAGTAAATTTATTTTGTATAAATAATTGGACACCTTTTAAAACACAAGCTGAATTCCAGTATGTGGGAGGTGGTTTAGACATGTGGAGCGCTAGTTCAGTATGGTCTTGAGTTTTTCTTGATTTCAGAAGTCTGTAATTCCTAACATTTCTGTTTTCCAAGACCTTTTTCCCTTTAGTAGTGTGAACTAAGTTCTAAGTAGGATTTTCATTTAGAAGCCTTGTGTTTTATGACATTCCTGATATCTTTCACATTCTTTTGATTGCCAACAACAAATACTTCCACTTTAAAAAGCAAAGCACATGAGAAGAGTAAACATTGGTGTGAATTTTCAACATATCTGTATAAATGTTCACATGCACACAGACACACATGCACACAGAAATTTAACACATCACTTCACCCCTAGTAATTCCTTGAACAAACTGCAAAGGTCTCTTTATTTCTGTCGGTATCTACTTAGTACATATAGTAGCTCTTATAATATTAGATGCAGAAAGTACTTAAAAATTCTTGCCCAACAAGAGCAATCTTCAGTATCATTATTCATTAATTATAATTACTTTCATTTATATAGTTTTATCAATTCAAAATGAACTCCCACACAATTTTAATTTAGCTATTTACACTACTAAGAAGCCAAAGGTCTCGAGAAATTATTAGTAGGGAAATAACAGCTAGAAAAATCATAATTTAAGTTTCTATCTAGTTTCCAACTGCCAAGGGCTAATCAGAGTATGTTTAATTATAAGACCTCTATTCCCTTAAAGCCAGAAGTAATTGGCAGGCACTATATTTGGAATTCATAATTGTATGTGCTCTGGCATGAAACCTAGCTAAACAAATACAATGTTGCTGGGCATGGTGGCGCATACCTGTAATGCCAGCACTCAGGAGGCTGAGGCAGGGGGATCATTGCAAGTTTGAGGCCAGCCTGGGCTACAAAGTGAGCTCAAGTCCAGCCTAAACTGCACAGTGAGACCCTGTCTCAAAAAAAAAAAATGTCTTTCTGTTGGCAGTTTAGATTTATACAAGACTTTACTTAATTAATAAAAAAGCATAAATATAATCCTTTATTGTCCATTTCAGACTGTTTTTAACTACGTGTAGGAGTTTATAGTATATAGTGTATATAGTACGTAGTTTCTCTTGATTCTGCTGGTTTATAAGCCCTATCAGAGCAGTGAACATCTCTTTGTATTCCATAACTATATTCATTTTAGGCACCCAGAAATTTTAGGGAAAATTATTGATATTATGGTTTCCATGGTTCTACTAATAAAATGAGCTTTTTTTTTTTTAACACGGTAGTGGTTTGATGCTGAAAAATGTATATTCTAATGATTTGGGGCATATGGGGGACAAAAAGTCACAATGCCCTCTTCTGATTAGTTCTATCCATCTGCATTATCTCCATCAATAAAAGTCATTAGAGTTACAGACATTAGCAAAGAGAGGGCTTTCAAATCAATTCCAGGCTTTCAAGTAAGTGCCATACTACTCTAATGTAAAATTTGCAATCCACCAACCTTAGATGAATATACACTACAGACAGAGGGCTGTGGTGCAGCTCTCAAAGTAGGCTGTGGTGGGGAAAAGGAAAACACCAACACCAGCTTTGGAATGCCTGTTTTTGAAACATGAGCAAGAGACTGTGAGTGGTCACTTACTGGCTGTGTGCAAATCACTGAGCTTCAGTAAGCCACTGTAAACCAGAGTTCCTATCATCCCCTGTATGACATCAAGCCACCTCTTTCTAACACATCAGGACGCAGCTCAATCAATACTTACTAAATTTAACTTTTACAAAACCCGAATATGGGAGTGAGGGGGAGGCTATAGTTTAAGACAGAACGTTACGATTTCTCCAGGGTAGGCTCCTTGCGAACTTCAGAAATCCTATGCACTGAAGTGTTGCCCAAATCCCTGCTGTAGACAAACCTCTCTTTCTCTGGATTTAGTCACTTCATTTTAAGCATGTACGTGCTTAACTTTCATATTACAGAAACACCTTGGAAAGACTCAAAAGGGTGTGGTTGTGTGAGAACTTTCATCCCACAAAATACTATATATTCCTTAATGTTTCAAGGGGTTTAATTTTTTCTCTTCACTTTTTAACTGTGGAATGTTGAGACAATTAAATAAAATTTTACAATGTCTGAAAATTGTCCAATAATGAGATCTACTATCTACTAACAATTTTGTGGGCATACATTCCTGAGAGCTATGACCTTCAAGTGACAATAGTTCCTGGATTAACTTTTCTTAAAATCACTGCTGAATGTTACTTAAGTCCTATGATGTAATACTGCCTGTGACCCACCTTTAAGAATATCTTAATTTAAAAGATGATTTGAAATTAATTCTACCTAGTGGCTAATAGAAAGTATTTCATTCAACTCAGAAGGATGACTTCCCATTGGAAGGCAAAACTGAGCAAAGAAAATGAGAAAACTTGTTTTAAAGAACAATGAGTTATGAATCATGAATTGAAATGATGAATATTTGTTTAAAATTAAATCAACAAGAGCCCAAAGGAATTGTTTCCATCATTTGATTTAGCTAGTGTTTTTTATGAATGCAGAAACTGAATAAGAATTATGATACCAGCATTTTACTGATGATTTGATAACTACATGGTTCTAGGTCGAAACAAAGATTTGAACCTTTCACTTTATTTGAACCTTTTTTCTTAATTAGAGTAATTGTGCTTTTGTGTATGTTTTCAAATTTATTGTCTTTTTTCACACCTCTACATATGAAAAGTATTACCTTCTGGTTCTTTTCTTCTATAATGTTTTGGCTTTCTGTTTGTTTTGGGATTTAAGATCTAAGTTTTAAGGATAAGCACTGTATTTATATCTTTTCTGTGGAATTACAAACTTTCTGAAGTGACAGTGGAGGCCCTCCTATACTACACCTGACAAGGAACTCTGAGCTACGAATGTTGGAGACATTTATCATATCCCTTCTAAATTCAGGATTAATTAGCTGTGGAAATAGTCGAATGCCATAGTTCACTGCCATTAACCTTCTCACATTTCCCGGGGGTCCCACCCTCTCCTGCTGAAGGCAATTGCACATGGTAACAGTGTGTCCAATTCTTGCAGCATACTAGCCAAACTGGAACAATGCTTTCGATTCTTTGCTCACCTATGAGCTAGGAAAGCAAAGGAGAAGCATGAAAGCATACGGTAGCATATGTTCTGTGTGTGATTCATCCTATTGATTTTAAGACCAATCAAACAAAATACTGGGCAAGAAATCCACAAAAAAGTATTAAATATGGTATCTTTACTCTGTAATCATCCCCATATGAATTGATATTAAAAGTACTATGAGCAGAATAATAGCAAAAAATATAACAAGACAGTTCACAAATGATAAAATTATAAACACTTTAAAAACACATGCAAAATACACCGTGTTCAACCTCATTATCATTAAAGTAATGCATATTAAACCAGGGGCTAGAGTGTTGTACTTAGAAAAAATTTTAAATGAAACTTGTTGGTTAAGAAGAAGTATTGTTAAAATGAGAGTAAATTGGCATCACCCTTGGAAAAGCAATTTGGCAATAATGAGGCTTAAAATGTTCATAATCTTTTACTCCATAATTCTAATTCTAAATATCTTTCCTAATTGCCCACAGAAGGAGCTATGGAACTGTTCATTTTTCTTTTGTTAAGATATTTAAAAACAGCATACAATGTAAATGTCTAACTATAAACAAATGATTAAGTGAACAATAATTAATGCAACAGGAGTAATTTTTTGCATTAATTTAAAATGACTAGAAGTTACAATAAAAGGAAAATATTTTAATTTATGAGTGAGAAAAGATACATGATTGATACACAAATTAATATTTCATTTATGAAAATAAAACTATGTAGAATGTACAGAACTGACAATTGGAAGGAAATAAAACAATATTTTGTACTTTGTTTTTTTTTCTTTTTCTTTTTTCCGGTACCAGGAATTGAACTCAGGACGTTGCGCTTGCCAGGCAGGCGCTGTGACGCTGAGCTAACTCCCCAGCCCCAATATTTTGTACTTTTTAAGGTGATAGGATTTTTTCCTTTTATGTGTATTTCACAGTTCTACTTTACTTAGCGTGCATTTTTTTTCTTACAACCAAAAGATGGTTTGTTAATTAAAAGCAAAGTACATGAACAATGCAAGAGGATTAAACTATCAACGTGGACTCATAACAGCAAATCGATGCAGATCTAACCTCAAGATCCACTGCACAAGCTATTGAATTTTCACTGAACTTTTCAAAACTGTCATCTCTCTGAATGTTACAGTTGGATCGATGGCTTAGAAAGCGCTCTCACTCTTAATTTTTAGCGTTAGAACACATTTACTCCTATACTGCTTCATATCTAAAGTAAACTAAAAAGGGCTAGGCATGGTCAACAAAAGCTTCCTTAAAAATAACGCATACTTTGATAGCTACCAATGAACCCTTATTGAACAGCTAAACCAGCTTTACGTTACAAAACTCGGTCCGAATTTTTTCACTTTGAAGGGAAAATAGTCAATTTTCTATTCAAAGGGAAATGTTTGAAATTCATGAATGATGCACCCATTAATGAATTTCAAAATACTAATTATGCTGAAGGGTACATTGCACATTTTAAAAATAATTGTGCTAGTTAATTTACTCTTCAAATATTAACTGTCTTTTAGGTATAACTTGGGCATTGTTAGGTGAACTTTTAGCATATAGAGTAAAACAAAAGAATTAAAAATACCACTTACCTGACATGCTTTTTTTTTTTTCCAGGAAACTTCTTATGTAGCCATAAAGCAAATGGATGGATTAAAAATGCTCCCACAAATTCCCCCCCACTATGTTGCTCTTTCAGAGTAAGAGCAGCATGGCTCTAAAATTGCTCGTTATCAGTGCCTCATGTCTCTTTTCTGTTTCTTAAAATCTTTTGTGTGTACTTTGTTCAGTTACAAACAGGAAATGTGGTGATGGGGGTTTCTCAAGTTGAGATCTGAAACCCGTAGACTTACACTGTTGTGTAGCGTGGGAAGAAAAATCTCCCGTGCTTCCCTCCTCTGGCATTTGAATTTTTATCAATAACTGAGTCTAATTTAAAAATAAATAATTACACTAGGAGAGATCTTTTCTACCTCTGGAGGGAATTTGGATATCTTGGCAAGTTAATTCACATGAAAAATAAAATAAGGAATAAAAAGTAAGCAACTCCTCATTGTGCTTGGCTGTTGTGTTTTCTTTAAGACACGATAGCAAAACAAAAATATTTTTGATCATTTACTATGGACCAGATGCTTCTTGGACATTTTGCCACCAAGAGACTAGGTGCCTGCCTTATTTCCTGCCAGCCCTCGCCCCAGCCAGCTAGAGTTTAAACCAGAGCCACCTGGAAAAGAAGTTCCACCACCATCCCAGAGTCTCAATGCTAAAATTTCTCAAATGCTGCCGTGAGTAAGTATGCTATGTGGCAGTAGTTTAAAATACATTAGTTTAAAATCCTGGCCCTACTGAATTAGAATATTTAAGGTGGGATCCCTGGAATATGCATTTTAACAAGTTCCCCCTCTTTCTAAATAAATGTTAAATTGATGTAATATTTGCACACATTTATGGGATATTGTGTAACTCAGTAGATTTATACAGTATGTAATGATCAGGTCAGAGTAACTAGCATTTCCATCTCCTCTAACATTTAGCATTTCTATGTGTCGGGAGACTTTGGACTCCTTTAGTTATTTTGAAATGTATCATAAGTGGGTGGAGACTGTAGTTACCCTGCGGTGCTATAGGACACTAGAATCCATTCCTCCTATCTAAATGTATGTTGGTACCTGTTTTCTATTCTCTTATTACCCTTCCTCCCTGTTATCTTTCCTATTCCCTAGTTACCACCATTTTTTTTATCTTAAAAATAAAAGGAGAAAAACATTAACAGACAGACAACCGTTTACAAAATAGCAAAAGAACAGTACAGACAATAGAGTTACAAACAAAGTGGTAGGAAATTAACATTGCCTGTTGTATTACATATTGATGTCTTCAAAGTGGTTTCTCATGAAAACAAATAAAGACATGCTATTCTTATTCTATTTCTTTCTTTCTTTCTTTCTTTCTTTCTTTCTTTCTTTCTTTCTTTCTTTCTTTCTTTCTTTTTGGGGGGTTCCAGGAATCAAACTCACAACCTCGCATTTGCTGGGCAGGCTCAGTGCTGCTGAGCTAAATCCCCAGCTGGGGATGAAGGTTTGGCAGTGGTAGCGCACGTACCAACCCGGTCTTATCCCACATCTATAAAATCAGCCATCTTGACTTCTACAAATGAGAGGGCACGTTTTCCTGTATCTGGTTTATTTCATTTCACGTGAAGTCATTCAGCGACATCTGTGGTGCAGCAGATGACAGGATTGCATTTTTCAATGGCTGAAAAACATTACCTTGTGTATATATGCTGTACATTCTTTATCTGTTCATCTATTCATGGACACTTTGCTTCCATACCCTTGATTATTTTAATATATGTGCTCAGATTGAGCACGTATACACTTGTTTCTTGGAGAAACTCACACACTGAGAATTGATCTTACTCATCGTTAGAACTCCACAGCCCAGAGCTGTACCGAGGACACTGTAGGTATCAGTAAACATTCTCACGCTGAAAAATAAGATAATGGCAGAATCGTCACTCTATTGTAGAAAACAATTCTCTACTAATCAAATGCAGTGTTTCTTTATTCTTTGGGAGGAGTTAACTATGTACTAACACACTGTCCTTCTTCATTCACTTTCCCCAGAATATTTCCTGTATTCTGAATATGAAAAATAGAATAAGGAATAGAATTGAGGAATTCAACTCAAATATTATTGAATCAGTCTATAAATATGACTCAGACCATCAGGTTTCCTAGTGTAATCTTCTCTGAAAATCACTTTCGAATGTATTCCATAGGATGAAATTCTTTAAGAAACATAGAAAATAAATGTTTCTAAGATAAGTATATTTGGAAAACTCATATATCATTTTCACCCATGTAGATGCATGTTTGTGTATTAAAGGCTAGTTAAGTAGTACAAAAAGAAAAACCAAACAATCTTTCTATCAGACCCTTTTCTAAATTTGTTTTTCCAGAGGACTCTTTGTCCATAGCATGCTGACTTCATTCCATGAAGCTAGCCCAGACTCCCACAGACCAAGCCTTTTGGGAAGCAACAGTCCTGGTTTCACGAAGGGACCAAAGGACAATAAAGAATCAGATGATTCCCTTGTACAATCTGAAGACATATGAAGAGATGAACCCCAGACATCCAGGCAGGTTTGGGTAGTGGAGACATCAGTCCAATGGGGGGAGGCCATGAGGAGTTCCGCTTTGGTCCTGAAAGAAGGTGACTTGCGGGAGGGCAAAAGCACCAGGCCCAAGAGACATCTGCACAAGCTCCATCTGAATTTGCAGCATTGACTGAGCACATGCCAATTTATTGGCTGTGACATACGGGGAACATTGGAGAGAATATAAGCCTCAGGGTTGGGAATTTAGCTACAAGCACTGCCTTGTTGAAGAGTAAAACATTGGGCCGGGGATATAGCCCAGCCAGACAGCACCTGCCTGGAAAGCACAAGACTGTGAGTTCAATTCCTGGTACCTGCCCCCCAAGAAAGAATAAAACATTGTAGAGAATGGAGAAAGAAGAAAGATGCTCCCATCCTGGCTGATCCATAAAGTGGGAGGTCAGAGACAAGAATAATGTTAAGCAGGTGCCTTTGAATGCAGGGAAGGCTAAACTCAGCCGGAATGATGCAGGCAAAAATGTAGGGATTCTGTAGCCTGCCCAGGCTGTGCAACTAGCAGGACAGCACAGCCAGAAGACAGGCTAAAGTGCCTGCCTAAGGGATTCCTTGCCTCAAATTTGTGAATTTTCATACACAACTCTGTAGGGAACTCGAAGGGCAAGATCAGAGGAGACAGACCAGGACTCAGGAAGATTGTGTCCTGCTTCCTAATGTCCTAAAAGAGTATATCCTAAATGCATGATTGAAGTCTCCAAAAGAGTAAAAATTTAGGCCAAGAAATGTAGACCACTTCACAATTTCTAATTATTATATTGCTGTTGAGTGATCTGTATCACAACGTTCCCTGTTCCGTCAGTTTATATATTCAGGAAACATAGTCAGACTGTCCAAGGTCACACAGTCTGTGCCTGTGCATTAGATAGCTCCACAGATATTTGAAATTTGTCAGAAAAAAAGATAGCATTTCATTAAAAGATAGATGGCTGAACACATGGAGACATTATCAGAATACTAAAGAGCCATGGGAAATGTCTGCTATGAAATGTATTAGTGAGTGCATTCAGAGATTTGAGTCATGGCTTTATGAGCCATCTTCAAAAAATAAATAAACATGAGGCCTCTAGTACTTTTTAATGAGATGGGTTATCAAATGAGGTGTAGAAGATAGCTAGGCTAAGCAGGAATGTCCTGTCAGGCTTGAAGCAGTTGGAAATGGAGCACATTGAGGGGTGTGGTCATAATGTGTAGCGAGCAAGAAACGAGAATTGGAAAGCCCTCAAAGTTTACTTTCTATTGTCAAAATAAAATGAGAAACATACCAACATGACAGCTGTCATTCAGTGCTCAAGACTTAGAAAAGTGGGTCACAGAATATAACCAGTTTTTCCAGTCTCTTTTTCAACAGTTGTCTATCATGATATCGTCAATCTTTATCCATGTAGTATATTTATGTATATTTTATAAACATATACATATATTTGAAGTTCAAGGAATTACACACTGTTATGAGTGTGTATTATATTTATTGTTATATTTTTCTATTGCTTAAAGTACTTATAATAATGTATAATAATGTTTATAATCTTTTACCATCAGACTAAAAGATGTTCAGTACTAGAATACCTTGGTTTTATGGAAACAATGCATCTCTGTGTAATTTTTCTTTATTCTGGTAAATCATTCTTTAATCACAATGAAGGTGAGGAAACCAGTAAGGAAAACCAAAATAAGGAAAACCACGAAGTAAGGAAACCAGTCCGACAACGGAAGGGAGGGACTCTTGTCCTCCTAATTATGCTGTTTTAAAATGTGAAGTTATACAAAAGCAGTTATAGAGATACAATTGCTTCTGATTAGACTGTGTTGAACATTCATATTTTCACTCAGTTTAAACTAAGATCCTCCAGAAAATATAGTTATTCAGATAAGTGCAGTAGAATGTGGTACGGATTTGGGATAAGATTTTTAGAAGCACACTTACCGTGCCTTTCAGAACTAGAATTCTTTAAAAAAATCAAACACTAAAGTAAAAGGAGATAACAGAACTTCAAAATCACTAGGGAGAAATATCTCACAGCAGACATAATCTATTTTCCTACGTGTAAGAGGTATCCAAGTTTTTTGGAAGGCAGCAGTCAACAATATAACTCATCACACTGATTTCTATGATACTCCAGAGGGAGTATTATAAGCAGAGCTAAAGCATCTGAGATTTTTGTTCTTATCCAAAGTGTAACTGGTTCAAACATGTAAGACCAGTTTATTTGTTGTAGCTTTAGTTTACTTACATGCAATCTCTGCTCAAAAGAAGCATACGTGATGCAGTATTTCAAAAAAATATTACATTATGTGAGTCTACTGTTCTGATATACGTATTTTAGGAAACACTAGATCAAGTAATGTTTTAGTATGCTTAAATCTTACTTTCTTATCTCTCTTTCATTCAGTGCCTGGCCTGTTAGTGGGACAGGATGGCAATGCTACCTTTAAAACCTGAATATGAAGCTTTATCATTACCAATGGTTCTGCAGAGATTAAAGAAGAATGAGCTCAGTATTCAAATGTTCTATGACAGGAAACACAATTAGCACCTGAGAGTAGTTTACGCAATGATTTTAATTCTAGTTGATCCTCCACAAAGTAG